TGGTGTGACCAGCAGGAGCAGGGAGGTGACAGTCCCCTGTGCTCGGCACTGGGGAGGCCACACCTGGAGGGTTGTGTCCAGGTTTGGGCACCTCAACCCCAGAGAGATCTGGAGGGGCTGGAGCGAGGGCAGAGGAGGGCAGCGAGGCTGGGGAAGGGCTGGAGAATCAATCCTGTGAGGAGCCAGGGAAGGAGCTGGGAGTGTTCAGGGTGAGGAGGAGGAGGCTGAGGGGAGACCTCCTGGCCCTCGGCAACTCCCTGCCAGGAGGGGGCAGAGAGGGGGGATGAGTCTCTGGAGCCAAGGAGCCAGCGCCAGGCCCCGAGGGAATGGCCTCAAGCTGCCCAGGGCAGGGTCAGGCTGGCTCTGAGGAAGGATTTCTGTGCAGAAGGGGCTGTTGGGCGTTGGAATGGGCTGCCCAGGGCAGGGGGGAGTCCCCGGGATCCCTGGAGGGGTTGAAGAGTCGGGCTGAGCCAGCGCTGAGGGATCTGGGGGAGTTGGGAACGGTCAGGGGAAGGTCATGGTTGGGCTGGAGGGGCTGCAGGGGCTTTTCCAACCTTGATGATTCTGGGATTATGGGTCTTCTAGGCAGGCCGCCTCCTCGTGAGGCCTGGGAAGAGCCTCCAGTCCCCCCCATGAACTTTCTGATCTGCCACAACAGGATCGTAGCGACAATGAAGTGGAGAAAATCAAGAGCACCCTCATCCTGTGCTATGGCTACGTCGCTGTGTACGCACCCAAGGAGCTGGTGCTGTCCAGAATCGAAGCGGACATCCTGAAGAACATCTTCCAGTACTTTAACACCAAGGTGAGCTGTGGGGAGTCCCCATCCTCCCCGGGGAGGGCGACCTGGAGCAGCCGGGCCGTTCTGGATGCTCTGCCTGAAGGGGCCTGCTGGGACCTGCGGGCAGCCCTGGGGAGAAGATCGGTCACTGTGGAGTCCACTGCCTCGTTGCTAATGTGCTTTGTTTTTTTCACTTGTTCAGGTTCTGGGAATAAAGGTAGAAACCAAGGTACAGTGTGAGGCATTATATCTGAGCTATTCTCTGCTCTTTCCTGCTCTCTCTGTCTGCCTCTTGCTCGGGGTTCCCCTCGAGAGGAGTGCTCCTCAGCCCGTGGGTATGGGGAGAGCTGTGGGAGCTGCTGCTCCTCGCCCTGGGCTCCCAGGCACCGTCCCCCATGCTGGAATTATTGCCTGAAAGCACCAAAACTCACAGCAAAAAGGAAGAGAAAAATGCCTTTGTGGCAGGGCAGGAGCTGTAGGTGAAAGCATGGCTTGGGTGGGCATCCCCGTGGTGTGAAGGTGTAGTGGCTGGAGCTGGCAGAGCTGTCCCCAGGAGGCCGCTTGGGGTTGGTGCTGGTGGCAGGACGAGCCGTGCCCACCCTGGGGCGCTCTGGTCGGTGCTTGGGGCTCTGGCACGGCCAGGCAGCCCCCCCGGCTCCCCCCATGCGTGCTGCGCTGGGGAAGTCTGGGGACTCCAGGGACCAAGCTGCAACCTGCCACTCGGCTAAAATCCACCAATCTCCCTGCTTCCCCTCGGAACAATCATTCAGCGGGCAGATATTAAAACCCAGATTACTGTCCTGGGGGCCGTGAGGAGCTGTATTTTTATATTTCTCTTTTTTTGAAGGGCTGAATGAGGAAAAAAAGGCATTTGTCAAGTTGAACTGTCAGGCCAAGGACTCCTTCTCTGGGCTCCACTAATGCATTTTCCTTCTGGGCTCCCGCTGGCACTAACAGCTTCTGCAGAGCATCTCCAGCCCCTGAACTGGGGATCTTCTCCCCCAACCCCTCCCCTGCCTCCCTGCCCTCCCGAGGTGCTCTCAGCGGGATGAGAGGAGCGTTTTTAATTGGGGTGCCTCCTATTGGCCCCGTGGCGACTGTCCTAGACCCCAAGGTTACGCAGGAGGAAGAGCCCCTGGCAACTTCTGGCGTTGCCTTGAGCATTTGCATGCTTGGGGCCTTGGCTCGGTGGAGAGGGGGGAGACCCTGGAGGGCTTTCCTCCTCCCACGTGCTGCCCCACAGAGGCTCCTGGTTTACATCTGGGCTGGGACCCTGCGGGGGCCAGCTGGGACAGGGTGTCCTTCTGCTCCCTGGTCACCGCAGAGTCTTTAACGGGCTCCTGACTCCCAGGCCAGGTTGTTGAGCTCAGCCTGAGCACCGGTTCTTTTGGACGGTTTGTGGTAAGCCTGGTCTTTGCTCCTCACCCTGCGTTTGCTCTCAGGACCTGACCCTTAAGCTGTGCCTCATCCGGAGCATCTGCATGATCAGCCAAGCCATCTACAACGGCGTGAAGTGTGGGGACTTCATCTTCTCCCGCAAAGCTGAGCTTGTGGCCCAGATGGTGGTAAGAGTGAGCTCCGGAGGGGCCGTGGCTCAGGGCTGGCCTGGAGGACATGGGAGGGAAGTTCCCAACTCACGTTGTTGAGGGTTAAGCACAAGCGAAGCAGCTCTTGGGGGCCTTCAAGAGAAGGAGGGGTGTGAGTTTGCACCGCTGAGCCCCATCCCTGCGTGTCTGCTGGGCTCTGCTGGGGCGGGCTGTGGCCTCCCTGGGCCCGCAGAGCTGCGGTCTGGGCTCTGCTGGCCCCTCGGGCGCCAGGGAGCCGAGCGGTGCTGCAGCTCCAGGGCCGCGTCGCACAAGGCGTGGGGTGGTTGTGCAGCATTTGGGGTGTTGAGTTAATGGGGTGTAGCTCCTGGGGAGGCTGGGTTCCCTAAGTCACCCTGAAGCATGGCCTAGAGCGGGACGGGGCTGGATGTGACCTTGTTCTGCCTTCCAGGAGTTCATAAAAGCGGAACCGCTGGAGGCGATGCGGACACCGGTCCGCCAGCGGGCGATGATCACCTGCACTTACCTGGTGTATCCTTCCCCTGGGGGAATGTGCCTCACGGGGCCACCACGCTCAGAGCCTGGCCCCTGCTCCCCAACATCCCCTGGGCAGAGCCGGGGTGCGCTCCCCAGCCCAGCACGTTCAGAGAGCTGGGCCAGGACAAGCTTGTCTGGGAGAGAAGGGTCTGGGGGTTCTCACTGACCAGCACCTGAACAGGAGCCAGCAGCGTGCCCGGGGGCCAAGAAAGCCAACGGCCTCCTGGCTGGATCAGCACTGGTGTGACCAGCAGGAGCAGGGAGGTGACAGTCCCCCTGTGCTCGGCACTGGTGAGGCCACACCTGGAGGGTTGTGTCCAGGTTTGGGCACCTCAATCCCAGAGAGATCTGGAGGGGCTGGAGCGAGGGCAGAGGAGGGCAACGAGGCTGGGGAAGGGCTGGAGAATCAATCCTGTGAGGAGCCAGGGAAGGAGCTGGGAGTGTTCAGGGTGAGGAGGAGGAGGCTGAGGGGAGCCCTCATCCCTCTCTGCAGCTCCTGACAGGACATTGCAGAGAGGCCGGGGCTGGGCTCTGCTCCCAGGGGATCAGGGACAGGACAAGAGGGAACGGCTGGAAACTGCCCCAGGGGAGGGTCAGGCTGGGCAGGAGGAGAAAATGTTTCCCAGCAAGAGTGGTCCGAGAGTGGAACAGGCTGCCCAGGGAGGGGGGAGTCCCCATCCCTGGGGGGGTTTCAGGGCCGTTGGGATGAGCTGTGGGGGATGTGGGGTAGGGGAGAACTTTGTAGAGTCGGGCTGAGGGTTGGACTCGCTGACCCCGAGGGGCTTTTCCAACCTGAAGGATTCTGGGATTCAGACACAGTGGTCGGTGCAGCTGCCAGTGCGCTCGGGCTCGCTTTGCGTTGGGCTCTGCAGTAAAGGCTCTTTGTGCAAACCAGAGCCAAGGGCACCACGTTCTCCATTGCGCCGAGACGACTTCTGAGCGCCGGTTAAAAATACTCAGCGCGTCGCAGCTCCTGACACAGATACCAGGAACACTCTGCCTGCCTCTGTGCTGCTTAGGACAGAGTCGAGTCAGCACATTAAAACCTTTGTTCCCAGCTTCCTTAACCTGGGATCAGCATCCTGGAGCCCCACCTGAGCGACCCCGACAGGACGGAGCTGATGGATACCTGCCTGGCTGGTGTGCTTGCCCTCCCGCCGCTGGAACCGGGGAGGGAGCGGGAGGAGAGCAGTGATGCCTTACCCAAGGAGGTGCGGAAGGAGGAAGGTGGCGCAGGAGGGCGGTTGCCCATGCTGCTTGGTTGCCACGCGGTGGGCTAACGTCAGGCCACCGGTGACCCGGCGGGGTGAGAGGGCTTTGTTCTGTGCCACAGGAGCTGCGGTCCCAGCTGGTTTCGGGGCAGAGCCCAGATGCCTTTTCGCAGTCCGGTGGCCGCAGCATCTCCCTGGCAGCAGATCAGCCGTGGGAAAGGCCTGTTTTCAATTCAGCTGGGCACCTCTGGGGAACTCTGCACTGTTTCCTCTGCTCACTTATCTCTTGAAAAAGCCTGGCCCTTCTGTGCTCTGATAGCAAGTGAGAAAATATGAGCTTATCAGCAAGTCCAAATGCTGCTAATAAGAGCGTGAACTCCCTCGAGGGGAAAAAATCAAATGATCCTGGAAACCCTGCAGGGTAAAAGGGGCCTTTACATAACTAGCTTTTGAAAGGCTGCAGCTGCTTCTCAGTTGTGGTTGAGTGCTTAATGAATGAAAATAACATGCTGCTAATGAAGTTGTTGCAGCTGCTGGGTGGCTGCGGAGCAGCCCTGAGCTCCACCGTATCACCCGCTGGCTGCTGCGGCTCCTCCGAGCTGAGCTGCAGAGCAGGAGCCCGGGGCTCCCACTGTCCCTGGCTAGTGTTTGCCAGCATCTGGCCTAAAAGTTTCAGTAAATAATCTTTTTCTTCTTCCCTTCCATCCTATGAAGCTTTGTCGTTTTTATTTTATCCTGAAGTAAGTCCTGGAAGGAAACTCTAAGCACTTTCAGAGGGTTCATTCAGACTGGGCTCACTGGAATTTAACCCCAAGTGGGAGAAGGACCAAATTCCCTTCTGGAAAGTCTGTGCTGAAGTGTCTGTGCTGGCGAGCTCTCCTCTGGCCAGCTGTGGGCACTCGCTGCCCAGCGCTTCCATGAAGGGGGATTTTCCAAACCGGGTTTCAGTCCTCTCTGCGTTTCCCTGCAAAGCTGGAGGTGGCTCCGTCCTGGCACCCAATGCCTGGGAGGGTCCTGTGAGAGATCTCTCCCTCCCTGATGCCAGGCCTGGCTCTGGGGTGAGGTGCAGCACTTGCGTAGTCTCTGATCCATCTTTCCTCCTTAGATGCTGTATGGTGACACCATCAGTGCCCTTAAAGACCTACTGAAGAGCCTTCTGCAGAGGAACTTGACCCCCCACGGGCTGCAGGACATGTTTGCGGTAGGCACAGCCTGGTTTTGGTGGGTTCTTCAGGGGGAAGCAGGGAAAGCGAGGTGCCTGCCAGCCACCCCGAGGTCGTGAGGCAGCTTCTTTGGGCCCATCTCCGGGGTCCTCGCTCCCCCCGTGTGCCGTGAGGCCCAGCGAGCCCCAGCCCCGCTGCGACAGAGCTTGGGCGTGCAGTACGGCTGCTCCAGCGTGGTGCTCCTGCTGATGAGGAGCTCTCTGGCAGCCTCAGCAGGAGGCAGATACCTGGCGTTGTCCCGCAGATGAGCCGGGATGAGCTGGCGGGGTCAGGGATGTGATTCCCACGCCCGCCCCACAAGTCGCTGGGCTGAAGGCTGCTGTGGCTGCAGCCATGAAACAGCCGAGCTGCCGCCGCTCTCCGCTCTGACGCTTTTCCCCTGTAGCATTTAGGCCCCTGGATCAAGTCGAACAAGGAACACGAGCGGCAGCGAGCGGTGGAGGTCAGCGCTGCCTTGCTGGACTTCTACCTGAGCAAGCTGAACGTCAGCGTGAGTAAACCCAGCGCTTGAGCGTCTTTCCTCCCGCTGCTGTCAGCCTCGCCACCAGGGCTCGGCCGTGCGTCCACATCCCTCCCTCCCTGCGGGGCGTGAGGGTGGGCCTCGTGGCAGCAGGGAGACGCCGGACCTGCTGTGAGCGTCCCCGTGCTTTCCTCGCTAGCGTCGCCTCGTTTGTCCTCCCTACAGACCGTCATCCCCTTCTACAACCTTGGCGTCCTGATCGCGCTCTTCTCCCCGCGCTGCTCAGACTCCCTGGCCAGCGTTCGCCAGCACGCCGTCGACTGCGTCTACTGCCTGCTCTACATCCAGCTGTGCTACGAAGGTGGGGGTGTGGGCCGCGGAGGGTGGTTTCACCGCTCGGGGGGGTCAGGGCTGGCAGCAGGAGCCCCGTTCTCCGCAGCTGGGCAGAGGGGTGTATGTCCCGTCCCTCCACGTGCGCGATGCCGGAGGAGGGATCGGACAAGGCGGTTTGCTGGGGAAGCAGAGCTGGTGGAGAACACGGCGCTGGGGGGATCAGAGGTGTTGGGGGCTCAGAGGTGCTGGGGCTTTAGAGACGGTGGGGTCTCAGATGTTGGGGCTTTAGAGACGGTGGTGGTCTCAGAGGCACTGGGGTTTTAGAGATATTGGTCTCGGAGGCTTTGGGAGTTTTAGGGGGTCTTGGGGGCACTGGGGTTTTAGAAACGTTGGGGGTCTCAGGCGTTGGGCTTCTAGAGGCGTTGGGGTTTCAGAGATGTTGGGATCTCAAGGGCTCCCCAAGGCCTGAGCAGGTTTCTGAGCTCGGCCTGGCGTTCTCCCTCTCTCCAGGAGAGGTCACTCCTCCCCTTCAGCTGGCCCGAGCGCTGGCCCTGGGACGAGCCCAGCGCCTGCCTGCCTTCCGCAGGGAGAGGACGGAGTGTGGGTGCTGCTCGCCGGAGCCCTGCGACTCCTCTCAGGATGCTCTCGGCCCTTGGCAGCGCTCTCGGTTCCGCGGCTCCTCTCTGGAAGCTGGGCCAGCTCGGGAGTCAAACCCACTCCCTGGGGCACTCCGGGGTCCCTTTTGGGTGTAAAATCTGAGGAAATCTGTTCACTGAATCCCGCCTCTCCCTCCAGGTTTCGCCCGGGATCACAGAGACGAGATGGTGGAGGGGCTGAAGGCTCTGAAGAAAGGTCTGGAGGAGCCCGACTTCACCGTCCTCTTCCACACCTGCAACAACATCGCCATGGTAAGAAGGAGGGTGAATCCCTCACAAGCCTCTGCACCTCATCTCTTCTGAGCAGCCCCCGCAGGCTGGAGGCTGCTGGGGAGCCCTGGTCTTGCACCAGGAGACAAGTTACGGCCGTTCTCTCCTCTCCTCCAGCTCAAGGGTCCTCCTGGGCGGGCCAGGTGATGCTCAGAGCCCCTCAGTCCCCTTCGGGAAGCTGCTGGTCCCCAATTTAGACACAAGGTGTCTGTGCAGGCTCTTTGGACGTGCAGAGGACCCTGGCAGGGACTTAGGCCTGGCTTAGCACGTCTGTTCAGAGCTGTGATGGGCAGCCTGAGCTTTTCAGCCATCACCACTCCCAGCACGGGGGTCAAAACCTGACTTTCCTGTAGATAAAGCAAATAGTTTCCGTGTGTGTCGCCTAAAAGTGAAGGTGGAGGTGGTCTGGCTCAGCCCAGCATGCTCTGGGGTGGAGTCGGGGAAGGTCGTGCTCCTCAGTGGAAGCTGTTGGCTGAAGGGAGCCCCCGGGGCCCTGTCGCTGGCGGCGCTCTCCTGCGGAGCCTGGGGTGGTGGTTGGCACCGGGGCTGCAGCCACTGGGTTCCTGGCTGCCTCCCAGCACGGCAGCGGCGTTACAAATCATAAAATCACAGAACACCGGCTTGGAAGGGGCCTCGAGGATCATCTGGCCCAACCTTCCTGGCAAAACCCTGGTCTAGACAAGGTGGCCCAGCACCCTGTCCAGCCAAATCTTAAAAAGTGTCCAGTGTTGGGGAATCCACCGCATCCCTGGGGAGATTATTCCAGCAGCTGATGGTTCTCAGCGTGAAAAATTGTTTTCATTGTTTTGAATGACCTAGACGGTATCTGGGGCCTGGTGGTGAGGGATGGGCTGAGGAGTGATCTCCCCCTCGGTGGTGTTTCCTGTGCTGAGAGCTCTGCGAGCTTTGCTGCACGAGGGCTGGCACCGGCAGAGAAGCTGCCAGTGGCTTCCTCTCCTGGAAGAGCTGCCACCCCCAAATGTCATCGCTCCAGCGGACACTCCCCCCACTGACCTCTCCACGGAGCAGCTCATTCCACCGTCGGGTCTGGAGAGCTTGAGGAGACCCGGGGGAGCATCTTCCCAGCAGCTAGGGGGTGGCCAGGGCGGAGCTAACGGCTCGGTTGTGTTGCCCCAAGGTTCTCCGGCCATGCTGGCTAGCAGCGTGGGGCAAGTGGCCTCTTGCCTCCTCCGGGGCTGCAGCCTGGCCCTTCCTCCCCTCCATGACCACCGATCGGGGCTCCTGCCCGATCCTTGCTAAAGAATTTCACCAGGCTGGGGTATCTCTGGGTTTGCTTTATTAACTGCTCAGGGTTGGGCTGGCACCGCAGTGAGTGGCCAATGCCCAAAGGCCTCGCACGGTTTCTACACTATTTCTAAACCTGTTACCTAAGTCCAAAGTCTTTGTAAGGTTCCGCTCAACCTTTTAGTTCTCGATTCTCTTCATTTATTAAAGTTCACTACAATCCCCTGTCTCAGCCCAATTCTGTTCTGGTTCCAATCCCTGCTTCAGTCTCAGGGTCATCTTTCGGGTCCTCATCATCTTCATCTTCCTTCCACTAGTTTTCATCTCGCCCAGCTCTGAGAAAGACTTCAAGATGTTCTATGAAAAGCTTAGGTAGAGCGAGCGGTTTCTAGGTACTAAATTCCCTTAAAGTAGCAGAACCCCCGTGTTTGTCAAGGAAACATCCTTTGTTCAAACTGTCTCTGTAGGATCAGCTTGCCGGGGTTTTAAACCGGCCTTGGGCTGGGACTATACAAGCAGCAGGCTAAGAACGCTTCTCAGGCCTGTTGAGCAGCGTTGCGGTTGCCTTGGGAATCTCCCGGGCTAGCGAAGCCCTGAGCACGTTTCACTAGGCCTTAAACTCTGATTTCCAATATTCCAGAGGTTATATTTAACATTCTACATGCTCCTGCAGGGCACCGAGCCAATGCCATCGATGGGATCGCTCTCTCCGGAGCGACAAACCCTCGGTGCTCAACTCTTGCCTCCCCGCAGGTGATCGGGAAGCGTGTCCCTCCGGACCAGCTGATGAGCCTCCTGCTCGCCATGTTCGAGGGGCTGGCGGACCCCGATAAAAACTGCTCCCGAGCGGCCACGGTCATGATCAACTCCCTGCTCAAGGAGCGCGGGGGGGTCCTGCAGGAGAAGGTAAGCGCCCACTGCTCGGCCGCGGTCCGGACGCAGCCCTGGAGCGGCGGCTCCAGCCGGGTGGTTGTTCTTTCCCCCAGTATCTTCCCCCTCGGAGCTCCAGCAGCGGGTTTGGGCATGCTGGGCTTCTCTGCGGCGGGCAGGGATGCACCAGTATGAGACCAGTATGGGCCAGCCCATGATGCCCAGCGCGGGGAGAGCTCCAGCCCTGAGGGAAGAAGGGAGGAGGCGTTTCCCCCCTGTCTCTCCCAGTGGTTGCTCTTGGATTTTTTGCCCCGAAGCTTTGGGGGGGCCGCCGCTCTCGCCCTCCCCCGTTCCCCGCGGGCGCTCGCGTTCTCCCGGCTCCGCGGGTGGGGTGGGAGGTGGCTGCTGGCGAGGCCGGCTCCGCTCTGGCGCTTGCTCGGGTTGAGGAGTTCAGAGCAGCTCACTTTACCAGAAGGGCTCAAGGCTCCCCGGGAAACCTTCACAAGCTCTGGGGGAGCGCGGGGTTCCTGGCTGGGAAGCCAGGCGGAATGCTTGCAAGGCTTAGAGGTGCTGGACACAGAAGGCTTTTCTGTCTAATCCACTACCTTTAGGGCTAAGCTCCCCCTTTCTCTCGCTGTAATTGGAAACACCAGGTCTCCAGCTACTCCTTGAGCTTGCTTCTGCGTTAGAGCTTCTGCTCAAGTCCTGCTCGCTACCTATTAGCCTCTATCCTTCGTGGGATTGCTCCAGCTTACATGACTCACCTTTTGGTCAGACCCAGTCCAGCCCAGATCCTGAAATCTGAACTGATGCTAAGCCTCCGAGTCCGCGGGGAAAGCCCGAGCGCAGCTGGGGACGGAGCTCTCGGCTGCTCTGCGCTTAATCTCGGCAATTTGCTGCCAGGCCTGGTCTGCACATGAACTTCCTATTTGTCTTAACGTGCGTTTTACAGCTCGTAGCAAGTGCGGAGGTGTCTCCCTGCGTTCAGCTTCAGTTCCTCTTAGGAACTTGCTTGCCGAGTTCCTCTGGCAGCACCCGAGTCGAGGCTGGGGCTTAGCACGAGTCGGGAGGGGGGGGGCAGGGTTTCCTCTGTCCCTTGGGAATACCCTGCAGCCTCCTCCCTCCCCTGGGTGGCAGGAGGGGGAAGGATCCTCGACTTCCAGACAGATTTGTGGTTCTGCGGCCACCCGGCAAGCAGGGACTTGAGCAGAACCACCCTGCCCACTCCCGTTCCCGTTCCCTGCCTGGAGGAAAGGACCCCACTATCCCGGCATCAGGGACCCCCAAGTGTGTCCTGCCTCTCAGCTGGATGCTGCTGCCTCTTCTTCCCTCAGGTGCCCGACATCATGAGCATCATCCACAGCAAGCTGGAGGAGGTGGACGAGGAGCACATCCGGAAGGCGGCCCAGCAGACCGTTTACATCCTGGCCTCCCAGCACAAGAGCGTGGTGGTGTCCAGCCTCCTGGGCAGCGCCTTGCCCTTTGACAGGTCCTGCCCCGCTCTGCCGCGGTGGCCCACGTGGCTTTGGCCTAAGCTGCAGATAATCTTCTGGCTCCTCAGCCCCGTAATCAGACCCTGCTTGGAATTGCCTCCGCGCATGCTCAAGGCTCGGCGCGGCCGCTCGCTGCCGGAGCTGCCTCTCGGGGGCTTTGCTGGGCTTAGGGGCGCTGGCGGCGGGAACTAGCAAAGCTGGCCCCAGGGAGCCTCCCTAAAGCTGACGGAGGAGTTGGAGCTGGCTCTGGGCTGAGCCTTGAGCTGATGCTGACCTCCTCCTCACCCTGTTGTCGTCCTCCTCCTCCTCGCCTCGTTGTTGTCGCTGTCCTCCTCCTCCTTCTCCTCGCCCCGTCATCCTCATCTTCCTCTTCCTCCTCCTCCTCGCCCCGTTGTCCTCGTCTTCCTCCTCCTCCTCGCCCCATCGTCCTCGTCACCCTCTTCCTCCTCCTCGCCCCGTCGTTCTCGTCACCCTCTTCCTCCTCCTCCTCCTCCTCCTCGCCCCCTCGTCGTCCTCTTCCTCCTCCTCCTCCTCCTCCTCCTCACCCCCTCGTCGTCCTCTTCCTCCTCCTCCTCCTTCTCGCCCTGCTCCAACAGCCACAGGCAGGCTTACAAACTGCACGGGGCAAGGTGGGAGCTCTGGCCGTGGGGTTTGGGGGGGGACTTTGGGGGGACTTTGAGTGTTGTCCGAGAGCAGTTTCTGGGGAAGGATCCCTTGAGCCAGGAGGCGTCAGCGCCCGGCACAGCTCCTCACCCACTTTTCTGTGCCGGGGGGAGGGATGCGACCCAGGAGTTCCCCCACACGGGGAGGGGGCTCCCCTCAAACGAGGGTGCGACTTAACGCCGGCAGCTGGTGCCAAAGCAGCGCTCCCCTCCCTCCTCTCCTCTAGCCACACGTGCGCCATGTGGCGGTCGCTGGCCACCGAGCCGGCCCTCACCTCGCAGATCCTGGAGCAGCTCCTGGAGAAGGTCAACAGGGACGTCCCGTACAAGGAGAGCAAAGGCTTCCTGCTGGGCAGCGGGGCCGAGCGCATCGCCACCCCCCTGCCCCTGGCCGTAAGTGTCCCCTTGCCAGCCCCGCCGAGGGTGCCCTTCCCCACCCCAACACCTGGAACGCTTTTTTCATTTCCTTGGCTCGGGGGTTTGTGCCAGGCGTGGACTCTGGAAATAACGCATCGCTGTGTAATGCCTATTAGAGCTAATCCACCGGCTCATAAAAAGCCTCTCAGGTGTCCGTCCTCAAGGGAGACCACTTTGCATTTTATCCCTTCAGAAAAACTAAACCCAGCTTGGCAGCTTTCTAAGCAGTAAAGCAGCTGTGAAAATTTCCTCCTCCTCTGAAGGACCAAATGCAGATGGTACAGAATCGGCCGCTCTGAAAGCAAACCGCCCCCCCCCTCGCTCCCCGCTCTGTTTTTAACACCCCTCTATATTGTGCTGCGTAATTACAGCTTTTTAAATTGGCTGGAATAGGGCTCTGCGAAGGGCTCTGCGTGCGCGTTGTCTTCCTGCCCGTAAAACCTGAGCCTTTGGATCTGTTCTCCCTCCCCAGGTACGGCCTTCAAACCTCCCCCAGCTGCAAACACCCAGCTTGCCCGAGCAGTCGCTTTTAACAGCAGTCTGTAGCTCCCTCGGAGCTGCGTGTGGGATGCTGTTAAAGAATTTCCCCAGGCTGTGGGTATCTCTGGGCTTGTTTTGTTAAGTTGGGCCACTCACTGAGGCGAAACTCTTCAACAGGAGTTGGCGACCCAGATACAAGCAGCAGGCTAAGAACTCTCTTCAGGCCTGTGGAGCAGCGTTCTGGTCCTGAACGCATTTCACTAGGACTTAAAATCTATTTCAGATATACCAGAGGTTATATTTAAAATTCTTCTACAATACAGAGGGGCTGTGGTGGGGGTAGGCGCTGCTGCTTTGTTAGACTCGGTGTTGCAGGAAGGAGCAAAAAAACCCTCTGGCTGCCTCGCTGGGTTATTTACTAACAGATAGCAGCGTGGCGTGGGAGATCCCCTCCTAATCCTCTTCTCCGCGCGCTTGCTCTCTCTCTCCAGGCCACATGTGCTTTGTATGAGATCATGTCTGCTCCGGAGTCTGGGGCAGCAGTGCTGGGACTCTACCCGCCGTTGTTTGTGACTCTCCTGCTGCGCGTCAGCTGCACCGTGGGTGTTCAGCTACCGAAAAACCTGCAGAGCAGGGAGAGGAGGAGCAGCAGCCACGGCCTGGCCCCCCGGAGCCTCCATCCCTGCAGGTACGGCGGAGCCGCTGGGCGGCCGGCGCGGAGGGAACGCGCCTACCTGCCATGTGGAACTCATTTTTTGTTTGTCCAAACACAAGAGCATGTGCTGCGTCTGGAACCGGGGGGCTGGGTAATAACACCCGGGCCGTAACGCCTTCGGTATGACGGCCTGACCTCTGGTGCGGTTTGGCCTCTGGGATTTGGGTTTGGCGGTTGGTTTTTCTTTTTTTTTTTTTTTTTTTTTTTTTTTTTTTTTTTTTCTTGGTGTGTTTTCTTCTGCAGAACACAATCTCTAAATTGGGAAGCATTAAATCAGCTGCCTCTGCAGCCGCGGTGAAAGATGTGCTTTTCAGAGCTCGGGCAGCCACGGTGCCAGAGCCCTGCCGGATTGGGTTATGGCCACAGACCCCCCCCTCCCCGCCAAAAAAACCCTCTGGCTCTGGGAGCAGGGCTCAGCGGGGCCCCCCCGGGGCTGGCGGGGCACGGCGGAGGCGGACGAGCATTTCTTGGGGAGGGAGGATGGTCGCGCTTCTGCAAGGGATGAGGGGAAGCTGGAAAAGAGCAAACTTGGTGGCTTCGTCGCGTCAATGGCTGTGGCGTGTCGCTGTGCCACCGGCTTCCCCCATGTGGGGGTGGCAGCTCCGAGCCGCCGTGTCTGGCTTCTGCTTCGGCGCTCGGAGCCCGTGGCGGCCCTCGCTGCTGAGGACAGGACCCGAGGGGCTGGGGGCGAGGGCTCGGGTCCCAAACAACCACTCTCCAGCTGCTCCTGTGGGTGCTTCAGGCCTGTTCTGCTCCTCCTCTGGCAGAGGGGTGAGAAGTGCGCGGTGTTGCCCGTCACCAGCCTTTAACGTGCTCTCCCTTTACAGCCTCGGCGGTGCTGGGGATCTCGGTGAAGGCAAAGCTTCCCTTGGCGTGCAGAGAGCTGCTGCTGGCACAGGCTTAGCCGGGGAGTTTCAGCTTTGCCTTGCACTGACCTCTACCCGCGGCACCCCGACTTGAGCAAAACTCGTGAAGGTTTGGCCACCCCCAGCTGGGAGGAGGAGCCGCTTTACGGTCGGAGGTTGGTACTTGGCCCTCGTAGGGCAGCAGGAATACGCTGCTCCCCCTCGGGCTCGCCTCCTGTTGAGCTGCCTGAGCTCTGGGCTGGGGTAGCTGCGTGCCAGGGTCGTGCTTCTCCCTCGAGGCGCTGCCCTGCCCCGCGTGTCGGGTCGCTGCGTCTTCTAACCTTGGCAAACGCCTTCAAATGGGTGCATCGAGGGGCGATGGGCCGGGCGGGCAGCGGGGCGCGATCAGCAGCTTTTTAAAAGTTGTGTTCGGGTCCGGGCCTCTCCCTGGGGCTGGATTTTAAAAGGATGTTGTTGGAGAGAGAATTTGTCTGTGATGAGAGGCCCTGAAACCCCAAACGGCCGGTTGTGAGAGTCACCACAGCTGCTAAATAATCCTCTGCTCGAGCCAAGCAGCCTGGTTCGAACACCGAAGGGTGCTGGCGTGGAGCAGCACCTGCCTTGTGCCTCTCGGTGGCCATGAAGGAGATGGAAACCAGCCGCTCTGCCCGCCTGGGGACCTCGCGGAGCGGCGGCTGGGCTGGGTGCCGGCGTGTGTCATCCTCCCGCGCTGCATTTAGTGCCTGAAATGGCAGCGGTGCCCCGAGCCCTTCGTCCCAGCTTCTGGTGGCTTCTCTGCCGTGGCCCGGCTGTGGCCTCGCGACTGCGGGTGCCCTCGGCCTGCAGAAACATTCCAGCGGATGAGTGGTACCTGCATTTGCCTTAAAGCACTTTACATTTATGGGGGGGTTGGAGTTAAACCCCAACCCGAGGCAGGAGGGGCTGCAGGCTTCCCAGGAGGGAGGGCAGGGACTGCCCTTCTCTGGGGCTGCTTCTCCAGCCACCCGCTTGCTCCCTGCGCCACCAAAACAGCCTGGAGCTTGGGTCAGCCCGCGGGGGAGGAAGCTCTGCCCCCATTCTCAGTTTTATCCTCTTGTTGTTTTTTTACAGGCTATTATTAGCCTTAGGGAAAAAAAAAAAAAAAGCCTAGAGGAACCCACAAAGACACCAGACAAAGCAGCAGCAAGCTCAAAGGGCTCTGGCATCCCTTGACAGTTCATTTATCAAATCCCAGCAGTGAAGAAAGGCCGTTCCCTTCTCCCGAGCGGCTGGGACGGTGGCGTTGGGCGCAGCGGGCCCTGTCCTCCCCTCGGAAAGCTGCTGCTCAGGCCGAGGGTGCCTTCTGCGGCGGGGAGACGTAATGAGGGGAAACAGGTTGTTATGCTGGATGGCAGGGCTGCTATCTGATTCGTGTTTTATTTAGACCACATGTGAGAAGAAAATTAAACGGACCCGACGCATTGGAGGTTGGTTTAAGGCCGATCGGGGGTTGCCCTGTGGCCGTGCTGGCACTCCCCAAGCTTGCCACCCTTGCCCCGTCCCCTCGGCGTGTTTTGTGCTGGTTTGGGAGATCTTCGTGCAGATCCCCCCCTCCCGGGAGCGGCTGCTCGTGCTGCCTTTGTGGCTTTGGGCTCGTGCAGCCAGAACTGTCTGTTCTCGTCATCCTCTTCCCTCTTAACGACTCCTGGAAGAGCGGCACGGGCAGATCCCGGCCAGACCCCGCGCCGTAACGCGGGGAGCGCCGAAGGAAACTCGAAGCAACTGGTTGGAAGGAGGCGTAGGAGCCAGAACCGCCTGCTCTTCCTCCCCGAGTGACTCCGAGCAGCGGCGGGGACGCAAACCGGAACGTGCTGAACCACGGCTGGGATCCCTGCTCCATCCCTGGGGCTGGCTGAGCCCCCCCCGCCGCTGGCCCGGGCTCCTGCCTGGCTGCTCCCATCGTGCTGGCAATGCCGGGAGGGAATAGTCAGGGTGCAAAGAGCCCCCAGATCTTTGTTGTGTGAAAAGCCAACGTGCCAGCCAGAAAATCAGTCAACACCCATGTCCTGGAGGCAGGATGGGGGACCCCCCTGGCCCCTCTCTCCTGCACCCCCCCCAGGAGCAGCTCTGCCCGAGGCTGGCTCCCTCCTGCTGACGTTGATTGAGCTCAGTCCTGGGCTTTGCTGGGCAAAGCTTGGCAGGGTCGTACCAGAGCGGGTTTCTTGCTAGTCTGAGCCCACGGCTTGCATCACTGGGGCTAGTCTGGACACAGATGAGCTGGCCATGCTCCAATTCTCTCCCTTGGGCGTACAGCCGGTGGGTCCCACGTGGCATCTTCGTCCTCAAGAAAACAAAAAAAGCTCCTTTTTTTTTCGCCGCCAGCACACACACACACCGGGTTGGGTTTCCTAGAGCCGCCTCTCCGGTCTCCACTTGATCTGGCAGGTGTCGGTGCGGCGCAGCCGGGCCCTGGCTGCGCATCCCCGGTGCCACCGGCCGCTTTTGGGGTGCAGGGAGAGGGGCTGTGTTGCGCCGGGGTCTGACCCGAGAGCACGGGGGTCTGCTCCGAGCCCTGGTTCCACTCCTGCTGCAGGGGCACAGGCCGTGGCTGCGCCTCCATGAAGTCATCGCGGAGGGATGGATGGAGGGATGGATGGATGGAGGGGGAGCCGTCTTTGTCCAAGGCACAGAAAAACCGCAGGGATGTGAAATTCCAGCCTTGTCCCAGGAGCTGGTTACAATATCAAAGTAATTTCCTGTACGCGTTTTGAATTCTAAGTCTTCATGATATTTAAATGCCAAAGAGAGATGGTAAAGGTGAATATGATAGCTTGGCAGGAAAGGGAGCTTGGAAGACACGGGCTTTTGTTGGAAAGGAAGGAAGTGTCTATAGGACGCTGTGGAAAAAGCAAACCTTGTGAATGAACGGCTTTAACCATCTGTCTTGCAGGAGCAGCCTCTGGTTGCGCGGGGGCTTAACCCCCTGCACTCGACTCAGGCTTTTTAGCTCTCGCTAAGGAGCGGGAGGGTCTGGAGGTGCAGGCCGGGAGCTGAAACCTCAGGGAGGTGCGGGCGGAGCAGGAATCCTGCAGTGGGTGTGTGGGGGCTTTGCCGGGAACAGTCCCTCCTGAGGAGCTGCCCACGAGCGCCAGGCTGGTGCCGGGTTGTTCTGTCAGAGCTTGTCCACAGTCAAGGAGCTGGTGGGATCCTCCACAGAACCCCAGAATCATCCAGGTTGGAAAAGCCCTTGAACTCCTCCAGCCCAACCATGACCTCCCCCTGACCGTTCCCAACTCCCCCAGACCCCTCAGCGCTGGCTCAGCCCGACTCTTCAACCCCTCCAGGGATCCCGGGGACTCCCCCCTGCCCTGGGCAGCCCATTCCAATGCCCAACAGCCCCTTCTCATCGGCCTTCACTGGCCTGTTGTCCATGAACGTCTCCCAGGAGGTGTTTTTGCTGCTGTTTTCTTATGCTGCAAGAGAATAAATCCCTGTGCAGCTTCCTCGGATTAAATTACAGGTTCACCTGCACACAAGATTTGAGTGTTGAGGTTTATGGAGTTTTCTTGCTCCACAGAAATGTTAGCGATGCTGCGGTGGGGGGCTTCCGTTGAGCCAAAGCTGGGGTGTACCATCCAGGTCAGGCTTTGGGGGTGGGGATCTCCCCTCCAGCGATGTCAGAGAGCGGAACAGGCTGCCCGGGGAGGGGGGAGTCCCCATCCCTGGGGGGGTTTCAGGGCCGTTGGGATGAGCTGTGGGGGATGTGGGGTAGGGGAGAACTGTGTAGAGTCGGGCTGAGGGTTGGACTCGACGACCCCGAGGGGCTTTTCCAACCTGAAGGATTCTGTGAGTGCGAGAGCCCCAGGAGCAGGCTGAGAGGGCTGGAGACCACCACCTCATCAGGCTGGGGTGAGATCGAATTTGTGATGGGGCAGGGAGACCGGCCTGGCCTCCTGGGGCTGGACGGAGCGAGAGTTGGTGAGCACCCCGTGCCGTGGCAGTGTGCGGTGAGGATTTGTGCCCTCGGGAGAGCGGGAGCTCGGGGCTGGACACGGGGCCATCCAGCTGGGTGTCTGCTGAGCTCGGCTGCGTCCGGCGGCCCAAGCGGCCCTGGACGAGGCTGGAGGCCACTGCTCGGCCCCTGCAGAGCTGAGCTGCCCGCAGACACAAACGGGCAGCAGTGCACCCCATGAAACCCACTGCCCTCATGAAAAAGGGGCCTGGCTGTTGCTCCCAGCGGCTGGAAGGAGATAATCGAGGTCAGAAACTCCCTCTGTGGCAGGACCTCCCTAAACAGAGGCGCTTGCGCATCGTGGAGAGATTTTGGTGCAGCTCAGCGACTTGGGCTCTCTCCAGCTGAAAACTGGTTGAAAAACTCCAAAGTCCTGTGTGGCCGGACACAGCTAAACAGCTAAAACCAGGGCTGTTACGTGTACCACCAGATTGGCACGAACAGACGGCAGAAAATGCTTCTGCCTAAGGTTTTCTTTAATTAGTAATTAATTCCTTGTTGTCCTGTAGTCTTCATGATGCATGAAGCGTGCTGGAAGGCTCCCTGCCAGCCTGGGCTTCTCACAAGAGCTGAGGTCGGCACGCAGCCGCCGTCCTGCCTCTGTTTGCTGTCGCTGACAGGAGCCCGATGGCTCCTCCGGGCGGGTTTTTCAGGGCAGACTTGAGGTTTGGGCACCGTCTGCCCCGCGGGCCCAGAACCGTGTCACCCAACCAGCCCCAGAGCACCCCATGCACGAGAACAGCGGGACCAGGCGGCTTCTGCTGCGGCTCGCGGGGACGGAGTGGGAACCTCTTGTTCTGAGCACGTGGCTGTGCCGAGCCAAGAAGCAAACCAGCATCGTTCTGCCTGCCTCCAGCTCCTTGTGCTTTGGCCGTGGGCAGGAGCTCAGCTTTGGCCCGACGGTGCTTCTGGAGGAGCCCCAGCCCCGCTGCTGATAAAACACACAGACCAGCGTGGTACAAAACTGCCGAAAGCCTCTGGTCTGGCCTGGCTGGGTGTGATTTTCCTGCGTGTCGTGGGCCGGTGGTTATTTTCCATCGTTAGTCTCAGCTTGGGGCGTGTCGCTAAGGCAAGCCGGGCTCTGGGGGGCTCCTGCAGCTGCCAGAGGACGTGGCTGTGGCAGAGCCCCAGGGGTGCCCCCACCCTGCAGCCTCCTGGGGCTCAGAGGGGGGGTGACAGTCTCTTGACACCGCGGCGTAACCAATCCCTACGAGAAGCCAGAATAGCAGGAACCCAGCTCATAAGCTGGAAGACTTTTGTGTTGAGACACTCTTAATAGTTCTGTTTTCTTTGTGTGTGTGGTAACTACATTCCTCCTGCTTGTATTGAAGGCTAAGATTTATTCATTGCTAATATTTGTTTTGTTTTGACAGGATAATGTATGTTTCCCATATGTTGCTCTGTGCTTGCAGCAAAATAATCCCTACCTATAAAATATTAATGCAAAAAAACCCTCCTTAAAGTAGTTCTGGACTTCTTTACTTTTCAGTCTATTGTCTTGGATCACTTTAACGGCGAATGTCACGGTGTAAATGGAAGTAGCAGTGAGTTATGGGCTCGTCTCACTCCAGCTAAAGCCCTCGCATAACTCATCCCGTCCTCGAGCGCCCGAACGCCTCCCGCGTGGCCCAGCGCGAAGCTCCCTCGCCCTGGGGCCTGCCAGGCGGGCAGGGTGCGGGCAGGGCAGCAG